ATCTGCTCGTCGACCAGGACTTGAGACCACAACGTTCCCAGCTCGATTCCACAGCTGGTACGTCCGCACACTTCTCTTCTCTTCGAGATATATCACTAGGGGTTCCCTTCTGACGGGAGCTCAACGGAGCGCGGCTTCCCCCTGCGATGTCTGGCACTCAAGTGAGGTCAAGGTCCTCCGGAAGCGAGCCTCACGCCTCCAGCAAAATGTCCACATCTCCTAGCCAGTCATTTATCTGTTTTCTCCTTCATTGCCCATAATCTCAAACTGTTATACATATCCAAGCAACTATTTTACATATGCGTTATCACCTCAATATTTGCTAGACCTTCTAATCAGGTCAGGCTTGACGAATAACTCTCAAGGAGGGAGACTCGTTTCTCCTGTAGGCTGAGATCATAACAATGGTCAGTATTGGTCCCAAGTGGTCCGTATTAGTCCCAAATGGTCAGTATTGGTCCTAAGTGGTCAGTATTGGTCCCAAATGGTCGGAATTGGTCCTAAATTATCAGTATTGGTCTAAATGGTCAGTATTGGTCCCAAGTTGTCCGTATTGGTCCCAAATCGTCGGTATTGGTCCCAAATAGTCAGTATTGGTCCCAAATAGTCAGTATTGGTCCCTAATAGTCGGTATTGGTCCCAAATAGTCAGTATTGGTCCCAAATAGTCAGTATTGGTCCCAAATAGTCGGTATTGGTCCCAAATGGTCGGTATTGGTCCCAAATAGTCAGTATTGGTCCCAAATGGTCGGTATTGGTCCCAAATAGTCAGTATTGGTCCCAAATGGTCAGTATTGGTCCCAAATAGTCAGTATTGGTCCCAAATAGTCAGTATTGGTCCCAAATAGTCAGTATTGGTCCCAAATAGTCAGTATTGGTCCCAAATGATCAGCATTGGTCCTAAATTATCAGTATTGGTCTAAATGGTCAGTATTGGTCCCAAGTGGTCCGTATTAGTCCCAAATGGTCAGTATTGGTCCCAAATGGTCAGTATTGGTCCCAAATGGTCAGTATTGGTCCTAAATTATCAGTATTGGTCTAAATGGTCAGTATTGGTCCCAAGTGGTCCGTATTAGTCCCAAATGGTCAGTATTGGTCCCAAATGGTCAGTATTGGTCCCAAATAATCAGTATTGGTCCCAAATGGTCAGTATTGATCCTAAGTGGTCAGTATTGGTCCCAAATGGTCCCTATTGGTTTCAAATGGTCAGTATTGGTCCCAAATGATCCGTATTGGTCCCAAATTGTCTGTATTGGTCCCAATTGTCCGTATTGGTCCCAAATGATCAGTATTGGTCCCAAATGATCAGTATTGGTTCCAATGGTCCGTATTGGTCCCAGATGGTCAGTATTGGTCCCAAATGGTCAGTATCTGTCCCAAATGGTTAATATTGGCCCAAAATAGTCAGTATTGGGTACGGCCTGGGGGCGAGTTTCTTACCACTGCGCCATGGTGACATACTTTGGTTTCTGAATGACTAAAGATCCCCCCCTTCCCCTTCCCCCCTGCACTAGGTCTACAGTTGACTATCTCCCGGGCATCTGTTTCCTGCTAGGTGAACATCGGGTGAAATGAAAAGTCCCCAACCGCTTCTATTCAGGCAGGGAATTGAATCCGGGTCCCTTCAATTGAGATCCGACACGCAAACCACTGCTTGTGTATGTGTATTTTTGTGATTGTGTATGTCTGTATACATACATACACAATATAAAACACAAACGCATTTACATCATTAACTTTTAGTGAAAAGCAAAATGTATAGCCAAAGGCAAATGTCCTTAAATATGATTATCTAACTAAATAAATTATGATAAACTTTACACAATATATTGAGCTCAGGATGAGTTAACAATTCGGGTCAAGTGATTGTACCCGATCGCGTCAAAATCAATCTATCATCCATGATTAGCAAGATATCATCCTTGATTAGAAAGTTATCATCCTTGATTAGGACGTTATCACCCTTGGTTAGCAAGTTATCATCCTTGATTAGCAAGTTATCATCCTTGATTAGCAAGTTATTATCCTTGATTAGCAAGTTATCATCCTTGATTAGCAAGTTATCATCCTTGATTAGCAAGTTATCATCCTTGATTAGCAAGTTATCATCCTTGATTAGCAAGTTATCATCCTTGATTAGCAAGTTATCATCCTTGATTAGCAAGTCATCCTCCTTGATTAGCAAGTTATCATCCATGAAAGTGAACTTGCCATATCCTAGAAAAAGGATTCCTCACTCTAGAATCAAGTCACTGTACTCTAGATTCACGTTTAATACTTTAGAATCAAGTTACAGAGCTTTAGAATTAAGTGGTATGGACTTAGAATCAAGTTGCAGTCACTTTCAATCAAGCCTTAGAATCCAGTTACTTAGCTTAGTAATCAAGTTACCTAGATTCAAAATGAAGTTACTAAGCTTTAGAATCCAGATACTTAGCTTCAGAATCAAGTTACTAAGCTTTAGAATCAAGAATAATGAACTTTAAGAATCTAGGTCCTTGTACCGGAATATTTAATAAGGTCATTGTACTCCAGAATCAGCTTCATCATACACAGTATTCATCATTATTCTGTGTGAAAATCTTCAGCTTCGCATTAGAGGATTTATGAAGACGAAAATTAACACTTTTACCTATGCCTATTATATTATATTATTCTAGAATCACTATATTGTACTCAAGAATCACTATATTGAACTCAAGAATCACTATATTGTACTGAAGAACCAATATTATTGTACTCAAGAATCATTATATATATATTACTCAAGAATCACTGTATTGAACTCAAGAGCCACTGTATTGTACTCAAGAATCACTGTATTGTACTCAAGAATCACTATTTTGTACTCAAGAAATATTATTGTACTCAAGATCCACTATATTGTTCTCAAGAACCAATATTATTGTACTCAAGATCCACTATATTGTACTCAAGAACCAATATTATTGTACTCAAGATCCACTATATTGTACTCAAGAACCAATATTATTGTACTCAAGAACCAATATTATTGTATTCAAGAAGTAATATTATTGTACTCAAGATCCACTATATTGTACTCAAGAGCCAATATTATTGTACTCAAGAGCCAATATTATTGTACTCAACAACCAATATTATTGTACTCAAGAATCAATATCATCGTACTCAAGAATCAATTTATTAACATAATCAAGAATCAATATCATCGTCAACCATAATAATATCATCATACAGGCGAGTTAAGTTACTGTCATGACCACATGACCCACAGCATCGCTGGCCAACCAAAGCTTGACCAAACTTTAATAAGTGTCTAAGTTAAAAAGGCTGGTTAAAACAACGCCAGTTTACTGAGACATATTAACAGGTCACCGTAAAACACTGAGAAGTAATGTTCTCAATATACAACGGATATATACAGTAGTATACAACTGATATCTTCATCAGAACAAGGAGCTTCGACATACTGCAACACAAGAACAGTCACCTACCAGGCTAACTGATTAGCCTGATCCATTATCAGCAGCATTACTCTTATACTATATACATTAGTAATAACAACAGTATACAGGACTGGACGCCTCACGTCCGTCTCTCTGGGAAATCAGGGAAGTGGTGTCTACAGGGAGCCGGTCGGCCGAGCGGACAGCACGCTGGACTTGTGATCCTGTGGTCCTGGGTTCGATCCCAGGCGCCGGCGAGAAACAATGGGCAGAGTTTCTTTCACCCTATGCCCCTGTTACCTAACAGTAAAATAGGTACCTGGGTGTTAGTCAGCTGTCACTGGCTGCTTCCTGGGGGTGGAGGCCTGGTCGAGGACTGGGCCGCGGGGACACTAAAAGCCCCGAAATCATCTCAAGATAACCTCAAGATCTCAAGATAACCAACGGCCATATCGGCCGAGAACGACTGTTGCCAACACGGCAAGTCACGCCAACCTTCCTCCTTCGCATAACTGAAGCACAAAACATAAATATTTACATCTAGTTCATACTGTACCTAATTAGATATATACATAATACAATACAATATATACAAAACTCAAGGTGTACAAGAATATATAACAATATGTTCAAAACACATAAAGAAGTGATTTCTAGGTAGATCTGGCAGTACTAGCTGCAGACGGTTCACCAAGGGTCGTGGGTGAGGGGGGGGGGGGGGGGGAGGGGAGGAGTTCCAGCAATTACCGGTCGATCGGTCGTTTACGACTTAAATTACCGTATAGTCACACACCTCAAGTATATAGTTGTATGAATGACCAAAAGGCTCTGTTATGAACTTCACAAAAGATAACTAATACACGAGTAAACTAGGCAAGTAATATGTGACTATATAGTTTGACCGCAACACACACTTACACAATACATTACACTAGTGTATGTGTGGTCATAACTCATGCATCAGTGTTATCATACTCAGGAAGTTATCCTAAACATGAAATAGATATCATGTTAACAAAACCAGAGTTATCGCTCCCACCACACCACTTAACAGCTTCCTGATATCCACCAACTGGATATCTTTGGTCCCAAAAATATTAAAGATCTTTCCCAGGGCCATAAAGACCTAGTTGCATTTCTTGAAATTAAAGTATTCCTATACAGTATATTTTTATGAAGAATTCCCATAGAAGATTCTAAATAATTTCCTATAATTAATGTCTGAGTAACTGCACAGATTAAACAAATAAAGAGTGGACAAATATACTGTGAACGACATTACGAACCAAATCACCATACGGTAAACAAGTTACAAAACGAGGGGCTCAAACATCGTTCACAAACGCAGTTATCACAAACACCGGGGAACAATATCATCCCAAAGAGGCACAGAAAAATTCACGAACACTGAGAGTAACAAAAGGCTGTGACTGACAACGTCTCATGAACGCTAAATGGTTTTATTGAGGAAAAATCAACAACTTATGAAGTTAATCAGGGAGGAAATGGTTCAATTTAGGAGCTAACTGATCCTTAACGACCCGACGGAGCCTAACTAACCTTTAATGACTGCTTACACCTTGTCAAGATGATTATATGCTGAGTGTGTTAGGCCGGGGAGAGGAGCCGGGAAGAGGTAGAGGAGAAGAGCCTGGGTGAGGAGCCTCGGAGAGGAGCCTGGGAGAAGAGTCGGGGAGAGGAGCCTGGGAGAGGAGCCGGGGAGAGGAGCCTGGGAGAAGAGTCGGGGAGAGGAGCCTGGGAGAAGAGCCTGGGAGATGAGCCTGGGAGAGGAGCTGGGGAGAGGAGCCTGAGAGAGGAGCCGGGGAGAGGAGCCTGAGAGAGGAGCCGGGGAGAGGAGCCGGGGAGAGGAGCCGAGGAGAGGACCCGGGGAGAGGAATCTGGGAGAGGAGCCGGGGAGAGGAGCCGGGAAGAGGAGCCGGGGGAGAGGAACCGGGTGAGGAGCCAGGGAGAGGAGTCTGGGAGAGGAGCCGGAGAGAGGAGCCGGGGAGAGGAGTCTGGGAGAGGAGTGTGGGACAGGAGCCGGGGTGAGGAGCCGGGGAGAGGAGTCTGGGAGAGGAGCCGGGGAGAGGAGCCGGGGAGAGGAGCCGGGGAGAGGAGTCTGCGAGAGGAGCCTGGGAGAGGAGCTGGGGAGAGGAGCCGGGTAGAGGAGCTGGGGAGAGGAGCCGGGTAGAGGAGTCTGGGAGAGGAGCCGGGGAGAGGAGCCAGGGAGAGGAGCCGGGGAGAGGAGCCGGGGTGAGGAGCCTGGGAAAGGAGCCAGAGAGAGTAGTCTGGAAGAGGACCCGGGGAGAGGAGCCAGGGAGAGGAGCCGGGGAGAGTAGTCTGGGAGAGGAGTCGGGGAGAGGAGCCAGGGAGAGGAGCCTAAGAGAGGAGCCAGGGAGAGGAGCCGGGGAGAGGAGCCTAAGAGAAGAGCCTCGGAAAGGAGCCGGGGAGAGGAGCCGGGGAGAGAAGTCTGGGAGAGGAGCCGGGGAGAGTAGTCTCGGAGAGGAGCCGGGGAGAGGAGCCGGAGAGAGGAGCCGGGGAGAGGAGCCGTTGTGAGGAGCTTGGGAAAGGAGCCGGGGTGAGGAGCCGGGGAAAGGAGTCTGGGAGAGGAGCCGGGGAGAGGAGCCGGGGAGAGGAGCCGTTGTGAGGAGCTTGGGAAAGGAGCCGGGGTGAGGAGCCGGGGAAAGGAGTCTGGGAGAGGAGCCGGGAAGAGGAGCCGGGGAGAGGAGCCGAGGAGAGGACCCGGGGAGAGGAGCCAGGGAGAGGAGCCGGGGAGAGGAGCCGGGGAGAGGAGCCGGGGAGAGGAGCCGTTGTGAGGAGCCGGGGAGAGGAGCCGGGGAGAGGACCCGGGGAAAGGAGCCGGGGAGAGGAGTCTGGGAGAGGAGCCGGGGAGAAGACCCGGGGAGAGGAGCCAGGGAGAGGAGCCGGGGAGAGTAGTCTGGGAGAGGAGCCGGGGAGAGGAGCCGGGGAGAGTAGTCTGGGAGAGGAGCCGGGGAGAGGAGCCGGGGAGAGTAGCCGGAAAGAGGAGCCGGGGAGAGGAGCCGTTGTGAGGAGCCAGGGAGAGGAGCCGGGGAGAGGAGCCGGGGAGAGGAGCCGGGGAGAGGAGCCGGGGAGAGGAGCCGAGGAGAGGACCCGGGGAGAGGAGCCGGGGAGAGGAGCCGGGGTGAGGAGCCGGGGAGAGGAGTCTGGGAGAGGAGCCGGGGAGAGGAGCCAGGGAGAGGAGCCGGTGAGAGGACCCGGGGAAAAGAGCCAGGGAGAGGAGCCGGGGAGAGGAGCCGGGGAAAGGAGCCGGGGGAGAGGAGCCGGGGAGAGGAGCCGGGGAGAGTAGTCTGGGAGAGGAGCCGGGGAGAGGAGCCGGGGAGAGGAGCCGGGGAGAGGAGCCGTTGTGAGGAGCTTGGGAAAGGAGCCGGGGAGAGGAGCCGAGGAGAGGACCCGGGGAGAGGAGCCAGGGAGAGGAGCCGGGGAGAGGAGCCGGGGAGAGGAGCCGGGGAGAGGAGCCGTTGTGAGGAGCCGGGGAGAGGAGCCGGGGAGAGGAGCCGAGGAGAGGAGTCTGGGAGAGGAGCCGGGGAGAGGACCCGGGGAAAGGAGCCGGGGAGAGGAGTCTGGGAGAGGAGCCGGGGAGAAGACCCGGGGAGAGGAGCCAGGGAGAGGAGCCGGGGAGAGTAGTCTGGGAGAGGAGCCGGGGAGAGGAGCCGGGGAGAGTAGTCTGGGAGAGGAGCCTGGGAGAGGAGCCGGGGAGAGTAGCCGGAAAGAGGAGCCGGGGAGAGGAGCCGTTGTGAGGAGCCAGGGAGAGGAGCCGGGGAGAGGAGCCGGGGAGAGGAGCCGGGGAGAGGAGCCGGGGAGAGGAGCCGAGGAGAGGACCCGGGGAGAGGAGCCGGGGAGAGGAGCCGGGGTGAGGAGCCGGGGAGAGGAGTCTGGGAGAGGAGCCGGGGAGAGGAGCCGGGGAGAGGAGCCGGTGAGAGGATCCGGGGAAAGGAGCCAGGGAGAGGAGCCGGGGAGAGGAGCCGGGGAAAGGAGCCGGGGGAGAGGAGCTGGGGAGAGGAGCCGGGGAGAGTAGTCTGGGAGAGGAGCCGGGGAGAGGAGCCGGGGAGAGGAGCCGAGGAGAGGACCCGGGGAGAGGAGCCAGGGAGAGGAGCCGGGGAAAGGAGCCGGGGAGAGGAGCCGGGGAGAGGAGCCGGGGAAAGGAGCCGGGGGAGAGGACCCGAAGAGAGGAGCCGGGGAGAGTAGTCTGGGAGAGGAGCCGGGGAGAGGAGCCGAGGAGAGGACCCGGGGAGAGGAGCCAGGGAGAGGAGCCGGGGAGAGGAGTCTGGGAGAGGACCCGGGGAGAGGAGCCAGGGAGAGGAGCCGGGAAGAGGAGCCGGGGAGAGGAGCCGAGGAGAGGACCCGGGGAGAGGAGCCAGGGAGAGGAGCCGGGGAGAGGAGCCGGGGAGAGGAGCCGGGGAGAGGAGTCTGGGAGAGGAGCCGGGGAGAGGACCCGGGGAGAGGAGCCAGGGAGAGGAGCCGGGGAGAGTAGTCTGGGAGAGGACCCGGGGAGAGGAGCCAGGGAGAGGAGCCGGGGAGAGGAGCCGGGGAGAGGAGCCGGGGAGAGGAGTCTGGGAGAGGAGCCGGGGAGAGGACCCGGGGAGAGGAGCCAGGGAGAGGAGCCGGGGAGAGTAGTCTGGGAGAGGAGCCGGGGAGAGGAGCCGGGGAGAGGAGCCGAGGAGAAGACCCGGGGAAAGGAGCCAGGGAGAGGAGCCGGGGAGAGTAGTCTGCGAGAGGAGCCGGGGAGAGGAGCCGGGGAGAGGACCCGGGGAGAGGAGCCGGGGAGAGGAGCCGGGGAGAGGAGTCTGGGAGAGGAGCCGGGGAGAGGAGCCGGGGAGAGGACCCGGGGAAAGGAGCCAGTGCAAGGAGACAGAGGGGAGGGACACACGACACGAGGAGAGTAGAGTAGGGAAGAGGAAGACAGGGAGAGGAAGGAGGGAGATGCAGAGAAAGATAATTGAGACAGGAGACACGCACACACACACACACACACACACACACACACACACACACACACACACACACACACACACACACACACACACACACACACACACACACACACACACACACACACACACACACATCCCTTGACCCCTCTGACCCCTCTGGAGTCAAATTCATCCCACATTCCAAGGACCCCCTCATCACCTCAACCCCCAAAACCCATCCAGCCCTCATCCCCTCAACACCCAAAGCCTACCCAGCCCTCACCCCTCCTCATCCCCTCTCCTTCCATGTGACCCCCCACCCTTGTGAGGGGGGTGGGAGGTTCCCCTCACCCCCTCTATCCTTCCCCCTCCCAACCTCTCAACCTCTATCTGACTCCCAACCTTATGCTATCTCCCAACCCCTCTATGCCCTCCCTAATCTTCAGACCCAGTATGCCCTTCCTACTCCAGACCTACCTACCCAGGCCCTACCCCAGACCCTCCTACCTACCTTCCTAGAAGCCCAGCCCCCAGTAGCCCCCCAAGCACCCCTCCTGAACTCTTTCACACCCCATACACCACCCGGACCCCCCCAGACACCCCCGGATCCCCCCAGACATCCCCCGGACCCTCCCCGCCCCCAGTCATCCCCCAGACACCCCCCAGATCCCCCAGATCCCCCCTGCCCCCAGTCACCCCCCAGACATCCCCCAGATCCCCCAGACCCCCAGAGAAAGGGAGAACTCTGGTACAAGAGTTTCCATGAAGAATCTCAAGGTTTGGTACACCAATGCTGATGGGGTATCTAATAAAGCAGAAGAGATAAAAGAAAGAGTGAGTGAAGCAGATCCTGACATAGTTGCAATTGTGGAAACTAAAATTAATGACATGATCTCAGATGCAATCTTTCCTGAAGGGTACCAGGTGATACGAAAAGAGAGGACACAGAGACAGGGAGGGGGAGTAGCACTCCTAATAAAGCGGAAATGGAAGTTTGAAGACCTGGGAAATCGAGTTACCAATGAGTGCACAAGCTTCATACATGGAACTCTGACAGTAGATGGGAGGAAGATTGTGATCTTGGTAATCTACAATCCCTCACCAAAGAGTAGAAGACCCAGGCAGGAGTATGATGACAACAACAAAGCATGTATAGATGAACTGCAGAAGGCAGCAACACTAGCCCACAGAATGAGAGCGAAGCTGCTGATCATGGGGGACCTAAATCATGGAGAGATAAATTGGGAATCAAGGAATCCCCATGGAGGGGACGAAACGTGGGGAGCAAAATTAGTAGATGTTATAGACAGGAATTTCCTGACACAACATGTGAAGGAAGACACAAGGGAAAGAGGAGGAGATGCACCGAGCCTATTAGACCTGATTTTCACCCAGATCGTAGAAGATATCGAGAATTTAGAGCATGAAATACCTCTAGGGGCCAGTGACCATTGTGTCCTAGTCTTTGACTACATGATGGAATTCAAACTTATGACCATGGGACAAGAGATCTGCGAAAGGAGAGCTGACTACAGGAAAGGGGACTATATGAGGATAAGGGACTATCTGGATGAAGTGCAGTGGGAGGAAGAAATTAGAGGAAAAACAGTCCAAGATATGATGGACCTAGTCATACAGAAATGCCAGGAGGCCGAAGAGAGATTTATACCAACGGTAAAGGGAAAAAATAAGAAGGAATATAATAACCCATGGTTTAATAGACAGTGTCAGGAAGCAAAAATGGCCAGCAGGCGGGAGTGGAGGAAGTACAGAAGACAAAGAACAGAGGACAACAGAAGCAGATACAACAGAGCTAGGAACGATTACATTAACATAAGACGAACATCGGAAAGGGACTCTGAGAACGATATTGCAATCAAAGCGAAAAAACAACCTAAGTTACTACACAGTCATATAAGAAGAAAAATGTCGGTGAACGACCAAGTGACAAGACTAAGGAAGACAGAGGGGGCATATACTGAAAGTGACAAGGAAATCTGCGAGGCACTGAATGCCAGTTTCCATGGAGTGTTCACTACCGAGCCTGAGCAGCTCCCATTGTTGGAAGGGGTTACCCTAGATGAAAGACTATCAGATATAGAGGTGACAGCAGAGGAGGTAATGAAACAGTTGACAACTCTAGATGCAACTAAAGCAGTTGGACCAGACAAAGTATCACCGTGGATACTAAAAGAAGCAGCACAGGCCCTCAGCGTGCCTCTGGCAATGATCTTTAATGAGTCACTTATGTCAGGAGAATTGCCCAGTTGCTGGAAGAAGGCAAATGTCGTGCCGATCTTCAAGAAAGGCGATAGGGAGGAGGCACTTAACTATAGACCTGTATCACTGACAAGCATCCCCTGTAAAATACTGGAAAGAATAATTAGGCTACGACTGGTTGCACACCTGGAGAACATTAGGTTTGTGAACAAACATCAACATGGGTTCTGGACAGGGAAATCGTGCCTAACAAACCTTCTGGAATTCTATGATAAAATAACGAGGATAAGACAGGACAGAGATGGTTGGGCAGACTGCATATTTCTGGACTGCCAAAAAGCCTTTGATACAGTACCGCACATGAGACTGCTGTTCAAGCTCGAGAGGCAGGCGGGGGTGGGGGGAAAGGTCCTAGCATGGATAAGGAACTACCTAACAGGAAGGAGCCAAAGAGTTACGGTAAGGGGCGAGAAGTCGGACTGGCGAACAGTAACAAGTGGAGTACCACAAGGATCGGTGCTGGGACCAATTCTATTTCTTGTATATGTTAACGACATGTTTACAGGCGTAGAGTCCTACATGTCGATGTTTGCGGATGATGCAAAGTTGATGAGAAGAGTTGTGACAGATGAGGATTGCAGGATCCTCCAAGAGGACCTGAACAGATTGCAGAGATGGTCAGAGAAATGGCTACTAGAATTCAACACGAGCAAATGTAAAGTTATGGAAATGGGACTAGGAGATAGGAGACCAAAGGGACAGTACACAATGAAGGGGAACAGCCTACCTGTAACGACGCGTGAAAGAGACCTGGGGGTGGACGTAACACCTAATCTATCTCCTGAGGCACATATTAATAGGATAACGACAGCAGCGTACTCTACACTGGCAAAAGTTAGAACATCATTCAGAAACCTAAGTAAGGAGGCATCTAGGGCGCTTTACACTGCCTACGTAAGGCCAGTCTTAGAGTATGCCACCTCATCATGGAGTCCCCATCTGAAGAAGCATATAATGAAACTGGAAAAGGTTCAGAGGTTTGCAACGAGACTCGTCCCAGAGCTACGAGGGATGGGGTATGAGGAGCGCCTGAGGGAACTGTGCCTTACGACACTAGAAAGAAGAAGGGAGAGGGGGGACATGATAGGAACGTATAAGAAATTCAGAGGGATTGACAGAGTGGACATAGACGAAATGTTCACACGGAATAGTAACAGAACGAGAGGACATGGATGGAAGCTTGAAACTCAGATGAGTCACAGAGATGTTAGGAAGTTTTCTTTTAGCGTGAGAGTAGTGGGGAAATGGAATGCACTTCAGGAACAGGTTGTGGAAGCAAATACTATTCATAATTTTAAAACCAGGTATGATAGGGAAATGGGACAAGAGTCATTGCTGTAAACAACCGATGCTCGAAAGGCGGGATCCAAGAGTCAATGCTCGATCCTGCAGACACAACTAGGTGAGTACAACTAGGTGAGTACACACCTCTTCCAGACATAAATGATCTACCAGTTGGTATACGGAATTATATGAACATGTTTGCTGATGATGCTAAGATAATAGAACGGATGAGAAACTTAGATGATTGTCATGCCCTTCAAGATGACCTGGACAAAATAAGTATATGGAGCACCACTTGGCAAATGGAATTTAATGTTAATAAATATCATGTTATGGAATGAGGAATAGGAGACACACACACACACACACACACACACACACACACACACACACACACACACACACACACACACACACACACACACACACACACACACACACACACACACATGCACACACACACACACACACACACACACACACACAAATCTGTATCACCTTCAGGAATCTGTACACCTGTTGATTGACGGTTGAGAGGCGGGACCAAAGAGCCAGAGCTCAACCCCCGCAAACACAACTAGGTGAGTACACACACACACACACACACACACACACACACACACACACACACACACACACACACACACACACATGCACACACACACACACACACACACACACACACACACACACAAATCTGTATCATACTTCAGGAATCTGTACACCTGTTGATTGACGGTTGAGAGGCGGGACCAAAGAGCCAGAGCTCAACCTCCGCAAACACAACTAGGTGAGTTCAACTAGGTGAGTACACACACACACACACACACACACACACACACACACACACTACGAGGTGGGGCCTCGTAGCCTGGTGGATAGCGCGCAGGATTCGTAATTCTTTGGCGCGGGTTTGATTCCCGCACGAGGCAGAAACAAATGGGCAAAGTTTCTTTCACCCTAAGTGCCCCTGTTACCTAGCAGTAAATAGGTACCTGGGAGTTAGTCAGCTGTCACGGGCTGCTTCCCGGGTGTGTGTATGTGTGTGTGGTGTGGAAAAAAAAAAAAAAAAAGTAGTTAGTAAACAGTTGATTGACAGTTGTGAGGCGGGCCCAAAGAACAAAGCTCAACCCCCGCAAAAACACAACTAGTAAACACAACTAGTAAACACACACACACTCCCATCATCTGACCACCTTACCTGAAGTAACATCTCTGCCCCCTCCTCCCCACCCAGTTTCCCAGGCATTCCCCTACCCTACAAACACACACACACACTCTCTCTCCTTATCTCTCTCGGGTAAGAAACTATCACATTTGTGACATATGAAAGGCTAGCGACCACCAGACCAGACCTCCCCACTTCCACACTCCCCAAAACACTGCCCCCACTCCCCCCCCCCCTTCAATTGGCTACCATAGATTGAGTGACCTAAAATCTCACCCCACCCTCTCTCTCTCTCTCTCTCTCTCTCTCTCTCTCTCTCTCTCTCTCTCTCTCTCTCTCTCTCTCTCTCTCTCTCTCTCTCTCTCTCTCTCTCTCTCTCTCTCTCTCTCTCTCTCTCTCTCTCTCTCTCTCTCTCTCTCTCTCTCTCTCTCTCTCTCTCACACTCCACTTTCCCTCCTCCTCTCACCACCCACCCCCTCTCTTGCTCTCCTCCTGACAAATCCTATCACAACATAACAGCAACAGGGGCAAGCATGATGGCCAGAAGAACCAGGGGAACAGGGAAAAGTCAAGGTGATGAAATGAAGGAAATGTTCGCCCAGTTTGTGGAGAATATCAAGAGTGAGATGCAGGGAATGATGCAGGAAATTAATAATGAAATAAGCAAGCTGAAAAGAGAACTGACAGCAGCAAAAGAGGAGATTAGAGCCTTCAAAGAGAACAGTGTTGGTGCTGAGAATCATCCAGGAGGAAGGTGGAAATAGTATACTGGAAGAGAATGCCACTATAAAAGCAACATTTGCAGAAATGCTGAAAAAAAATACTGAAGTAATGTCCACAATGATGGAGGTGGCCATGAAAGCAGCCACTTCACAGGAAATGACACGCTCCACTAGCCAGCTGCTGGAAAGAAAAAGATCAGTGGTAGCTGTGGGTATTAAAGAGCAGGAAGGCTGCAACAGGACAGAGTGGAATGATAAGGACAACGCAGCAGTGAATGAAATACTGAAGACACTAGAGATTGAGGGGCTGAGCATAGAATTGAGAAGGTATTCAGGCTAGGCTGGTACAACAAAGATCGAGATCGTGTGTTAAAGATAGTGTTTGCAAACAAAAACACAAAGGAGTTGATTCTAACTTGGAAAAGCCATCTGCAATATGTGGGAGAATTTAAAAAAGTATTCCTCCAGAGGGATATGACGAGGGAGGAGAGAGCCATGGCGACAGAAGCAAGGAAGAGGCGCAGGGCGAGAGGGGAAAACCAGGAACTCACAGCTCCCAACACATCATCCCCAGAGGTGAGGGGGGAACTCACAACCAGCTACCCAGTAACACCAGATGGGAGGGCAACCACGCCACCCTCCTCTGCATAGAAACCCCCCCTACCCCAAACCCTCCTTGCCCCCACTCAAATGCTCAGCCAAACCTCCCTATCCCCTCCCCCCCACAACCCATTCCCACCCTGCTACCCCTCCCCTCCTCCGGCCATGTCCCCCCTCCCCCCTTTTCCTTCCAGTCCTCTCTCCCCCTTCATCCCATACCTTCCTTGCCCCCCCCCCTTTCACATGACCCCCCGCCCCTCATCCCAGTATCCTTTGAGACCCTGTTATCCACCTCACAATTCCTCACACCCATGGAACAGCTTCCCCCACCAGTAGAACACTCACCAAGGAGGAAAATTGAGAAGGGACAGAAGAAAGTGAGCCTTAGGGCAATGTACACTAACATAGATGGAATTACAAATAAAGCAAATGAGCTTGGAGAATGGGTACTAGAGGAAAACCTAGACATAATAGCACACAGAGATCACACTAACATGATGCATCAAATGAACAATTTAACCCTGTCGTAGCTCAGTCGATTAAGGCAGTGTCTGGGATGCTCCCGGACGCAGGTTCGAATCCTAGTCACGGCCCTTGTGGATTTGTTCACTAGACATAATAGCACTCACAGAAGCAAAGCTAACGAAAACCTTAACAAATGCAGTGTTCCCACAGGAATATTATCTTATGAGGAAAGAGAGAGAAGGAAGAGGTGGTGGTGGTGTAGCTCTGCTGGTAAGAAAGGGCTGGGACTTTGAGGAGATGGTTATTCAGGGCTGAGAGGGTTTCAGTGACTACATAGCAGGTACCATAACAACTGGAGGACAAAAAATTATAGTCGTAGTCATATATAATCCACCACTTAATGACAGAAGACCCAGACAGGAATATGATAGACACAACATGGCCACCTTAATATAACAGAGAGAGCAGCTTCTGTTGCCAACAGGAATGGATCAGGACTACTAATCATGAGAGAATTTAACCATGGTAAAATAGACTGGAAGAACAGGGATCCGCATGGAGGACCAGAAACATGGAGAGCTAAGCTGCTGGACGTGGCAACAAGACACTTTCTAAGCAAGCACATCAAGGAACCAACAAGAATGAGAGAAGATGAAACAGCCATGCTCGATCTGATATTTACCCTAAATGAGTGGGATAAAAGGGAAGTTAAGATGAAAGCACCCTTGGGAATGAGTGACCACAGTGTATTAAACTTTGAGTACCTGGTAGAGCTAGGAATTATCTCCCCGAAAAAAGAACTAGGAAACAAATGCTGGCTTACCGAAAGGGGAAATATGAGAAGATGAGACCTTTCCTAAGGGAAATACCTTGGGACACAGACCTCAGAGCAAAGTCTGTACAAGATATGATGGACTATGTTACCCAAAAGTGTCAGGAGGCAGTAAACAGGTTCATGATCCCGTCCCAAAGGGAAAATCCGAGAGATAAAGAATCCATGGTATAATAGGGCATGTATGGAAGCAAAAGGACTGAACAGAAGGGCGTGGCGGAACTTCTAGAATAACAGAACACCAGAAAGCAAAGACAGATACCACAGAACTAGGAATGAGTATGTTAGGGTGAGCAGAGAAGCAGAGAAAAATTATGAAAATGATATAACAAACAAAGCCAAAACTGAACCAAAGCTACTCCATAGTCACATCAGGAGGAAAACAACAGTGAAAGAACAGGCAATGAAACTTAGAACAGGCGAGGACAGGTATACAGAGAATGACAAAGAGGTGTGTGAAGAACTCAACAAGAGGTTCCAGGAGGTCTTCACAATTGAACAAGGTGAGGTTACTGTGCTAGGAGAAAGGGAAGAGTAAACCAGGCGGCGTTGGAAATGTTTGAAATTGAGGAGGAGGTCAAGAAAAACCTGCTGGATCTGGATGTTAAAAAAGGCTGTTGGTCCAGACAGGATCTCACCATGGGTACTGAAAGAGTGTGCAGAGGCACTTTGCTTGCCACTCTCCATAGTGTATAGAAGGGTTCGAAATTACAAGAAAGGAGGTCAAAAGACACCTGATGAATCTGATATTAGAAAGGCTGTTGGTCCAGACGGGATCTCACCATGGGTACTGAAAGAGTGTACAGAGGCACTTTGCTTGCCACTCTCCATAGTGTATAGTAGGTCACTGGAGACAGGAGACTTACCAGAAATATGGAAGACGGCGAATGTGGTCCCAATATACAAAACGGGCGACAGGCAAGAGGCACTGAACTACAGGCCAGTGTCCTTGACTTGTATACCATGCAAGGTGATGGAGAAGTTCGTGAGAAAAAACCTGGTATAACATCTGGAGAGAAGGGACTTTGTGACAAATCGCCAACATGGGTTCAGGGAGGGTAAATCTTGCCTGACTGGCTTAACAGCATTCTACGACCAGGTGACAAAGATTAAGCAAGAAAGGCTGGGTGGACTGCATTTTCTTGGATTGTCGGAAAGCCTTTGAAAAGTACCGCATAAGAGGCTGGTACATAAGCTGGAGAGACAGGCAGGTGTAGCTGGTAAGGTGCTCCAGTGGATAAGGAAGTACCTAAGCAATAGGAAGCAGAGAGTTACGGTGAGGGGTGAGACCTCCGATTGGCATGAAGTCACCAGTGGAGTCCCACAGGGCTCTGTACTCGGTCCTATCTTGTTTCTGATACATGTAAATGATCTCCCGGAGGGTATAGATTAATTTCTCTCAATGTTTGCGGATGATGCCAAAATTATGTGAAGGATTAAGACAGAAGAGAACTGTGTGAGGCTTCAAGAAGACCTAGACAAGCTGAAGGAATGGTCGAACAAATGGTTGTTAGAGTTTAACCCAACCAAATGTAATGTAATGAAGATAGGTGTAGGGAGCAGGAGGTATCATCTGGGAGAAAAAATTCTTCATGAGTCAGAGAAAGAAAAAGACTTGGGGGTTGATATCACGCCAGACCTGTCTCCTGCAGCCCATATCAAGAGGATAACATCAGCGGCATATGCCAGGCTGGCCAACATACGAACGGCATTCAGAAACTTGTGTAAAGAATCATTCAGAACTTTGTATACCACATATGTCAGGCCAATCCTGGAGTATGCAGCCCCAGCATAGAGTCCATATCTAGTCAAGGATAAGACTAAACTGGAAAAGGTTCAAAGGTTTGCCACCAGACTAGTACCCGAGCTGAGAGGTATGAGCTACGAGGAGAGACTACGGGAATTAAACCTCACTTCGCTGGAAGACAGAAGAGTTAGGGGGGACATGATCACCACATTCAAGATTCTGAAGGAGATTGATAGGGTAGATAAAGACAGTCTATTTAACACAAGGGGAACACGCACAAGGGGACACAGGTGGAAACTGAGTGCCTAAATGAGCCACAGAGATATTAGAAAGAACTTTTTTAGTGTCAGAGTGCTTGACAAATGGAATGCATTAGGGGGTGATGTGGTGGAGGCTGACTCCATACACAGTTTCAAGTGTAGATATGACAGAGCCCGATAGGCTCAGGAATCTGTACACCTGTTGATTGACGGTTGAGAGGCGGGTCCAAAGAGCCAGAGCTCAACCCCCGCAAACACAACTATGTGAGTACACACACACACACACTTCAGAATTGCTTTTAAATACATGGATGGCGATATACTAAAGAAATTGTTCACAACTTTTGTTAGGCCAAAGCTAGAATATGCAGCAGTTGTGTGGTGCCCATATATTAAGAAGCACATCAACAAACTGGAAAAGGTGCAAAGACATGCTACTAAGTGGCTCCCAGAACTGAAGGGCAAGAGCTACGAGGAGAGGTTAGAGGCATTAAATATGCCAAAACTGGAAGACAGAAGAAAAAGAGGTGATATGATCACTACATACAAAATAGTAACAGGAATTTATAAAATCGATAGGGAAGATTTCCTGAGACCTGGAACTTTAAGAACAAGAGGTCATAGATATAAACTAGCTAAACACAGATGCCGAAGAAATATAAGAAAATTCACTTTCGCAAACAGAGTGGAAGACGGTTGGAACAAGTTAGGGGAGAAGGTGGTGGAGGCCAAGACCGTCAGTAGTTTCAAAGCGTTATATGACAAAGAGTGCTGGGAAGACGGGACACCACGAGCGTAGCTCTCATCCTGTAACTACACTTAGGTAATTACACTTAGGTAATTACACACACTCACACACACACACACACACACACACACACACACACACACACACACACACACACACACACACACACACACACAGAATTTTAGAATTCTATGATAAAGTAACAAGGATAAGGCAGGACAGAGAAGGCTGGGCAGACTGCATATTTCTTGACTGCCAAAAGGCCTTTGATACAGTACCGCACATGAGACTGCTATACAAACTTGTGAGGCAGGCAGGAGTAAGCGGAAAGGCCCTAGTATGGGTGAAGAACTACCTAACAGGAAGGAGCCAGAGGGTAA